CCAGTGTGGGCCCAGAGTGGCTGCGGGGGGAGGGGACGCTTGTGCTGTGAAGCGGCCAGGGGAGTGAGGCGGGTCTTTCTTACAGCCCCGACCCTGCTAACATGCCGACTCATTCTTGCGTTTCCTTTCTTCCTTCCTTTTTTTTTTTTGAGAAAATGCCTGTTCTAAGCATTTACTTATTTACTTTTGCACACAAGAGCTGGGGTACAGGCCAGAAGTGCGGAAAGGGGAGGGGTTGAGAGGAGTCACCAGAGACAGAGGGGAGCAGAGCAGGCGGATCTACTGAAACACACGGCTGAGGGGAGCGGCGGGAGACAGGAGAGGTCACTCCCTGGCCGGGGATCGAACTCAGGCCCCGAAGCCACCAGGGGAGCCCCTGTTCTAATCATTTTAATAGGGCAGGAATGGGCAAAGTTAAAAAACTAAATCTCATGACAAACAAACAAAACTCACAAAATAAAGCAAATAAATAAATAATAAAACTTTGTTATTAATTAATCTCCAGCAGCTCCTCTTTGCCCCGACACATGCCACGGCTGTATTCTGCCCACGGGCTGAGATTCTTCCACGTATTTTCAGTGTGGAATAAACACGCACACATCGTTTGTTTTATTTTTAATGGAAACTTGGTCTTTCCTCGCCCCCGCTCGTGGGCCTCTCTCTGAGCGCCCCAGTCCGCCAGACTCCGCCTGGAGCACCCCCAGGACGTGGCCCCGCCGTTGACGACAGACCACTCGGTGGGCCTCGGCCTTAACCGAATAAAAGCACACCGATGCAGTCAAAGAATTTCCTCGTTGCACACATTTCCAAAAAAAAAATCTAGAGCACTTTTTGCAGGCCTCTTAGGGTTTCATTTACAAAAATCACGGACGATGGAACCCAAGGTAGGTGCTTCCTGCTGCCTCTGTAGCGCTCCAGACTCGCGCGCTGGGCACAGGGCAGGGCTGGGCAGCATTTGCCACACACACAGGGCAGGTAGCCTGTGGATTCCCAGCGGCACTGGCCTCCGGACACGGCAGGACAAGGGGCGTCCGAGCCCCTCCTGTTTTGTCTCCCCGGGAGAGAAACGTGACCCGAAACTTGGATTTTCTAAGACACTGCCAGTGATGAGGAAATTGCCAAAATTCACCCCTTGCAGCATCGTGCCCTGGCCGGGTGGGGCTCCCTGCTAGGACTTGGTTTGCTCGGCGCAGCGGGTCTAGACTGTTGGCTGCCGCACTGTGCCTTGGCCCCGCGGAGACAAAGGTGCGGCGTGGTGACGCTCGGGGCTGAAGAGCCGCCGCCCCTTGGCAGCTGCCCCTGTGCCCCTCACAGCAGCTGGCTCCGCTGGGGGGGAGCCGCTTTCCTCCCTCCCTCCTCTCTCCCTGCGCCAGCTTGAGGGCAGGAGCAGGCTGGGCGTCTCAGGGTTCTGGTTCTCCAGTTGCCAATAGCATGTGGAGGATGTGGCCAGGGCAGGGGCTTTGTGGGGGTTTCTTCATGCACATTTGGGGGAAGGCCAGTGGTTCCCGAGGGCCTGGTCAAGCTGGGCGTGACGCAGGGCCACGCCATCCTGGGCCGCTGGTGTCCGTGGCCCCGGGCAGGACACCCTACCTCCTCGTGGCCTCCGGAGCCAGAGGCCAGGGCTCTGGTCTCAGATAAAGAGAGATCATTTCGTTCATGCTTAGAAAGTTCTTTGTGTGTGTTGTTATCAGCATTTCAGGATTGTTCCGCTTTTGCCAGCTGGCTTTTGGATGAGGTGAGGTGACAGGCGAGCTTACCTGAACCCCAACTTCTGGTCTCGGCTCCTCTATCCTCAGGGATCTCATGGGTCCGTCCTCCATACTTGCTGGAAACTGGTGGGGCTGACTTTCCCTTCCAGAAGGAGCTGACCTCTGCCTTCAGCTTTTCTGTGCAGGAATAAGGCGACTCTACTTACTCCAGCTCCTTTTATTTTTCCTCTAAGATTTTTTTATGCATACAGAACTGGGGTACAGGCCAGAGGTGCAGGGGCAGTGAGAGGATTCACCAGAAACAGCATGGGGAGCAGAACAGGCAGATGGATGACGTACAATGCTGAGGGGAGCAGCAGGTGAGACAGGAGAGGTCTGCCGCGCCATGTGGGTCGTCACTCCCTGGCCGGGGATCGAACTTGTGCTGCAGTGGCTGCAGCTGGCTTCCTGGTGCTGTGCTTTAACCCGCTGCTCTACCGGCCCACTCCAGCAACTTTTTTTTTTTTTAAAGATTTATTTATTCATATAGAACTGGGGTACAGGCCAGAGATGCGGAGGGTGAGAGGATTCACCAGAGACAGAGTGGGGAGCAGAACAGGCAGATGGATGAAGTACACTGCTGAGGGGAGCAGCGGACAGGTCAGGAGAGGTCTGCCGGGCCCTGTGGTCTCCTCCGGGGCAGGCGGGGATCGAACTCATGCGGAAGCGGCTTAAGCTTCTCAGTGCTGCACTTTAACCCGCTGCGCCACCAGGGAGGGCCCCACTCCAGCAACTTATAGCTCTTGGAAAGGCTTTGTATTTTCCTTTCTATGTCCTGTGGGGGTCTCTTTTGCATTTGAATCCTAGAGCGTTTATATTTTTGTCATTAGGAGCTGGGTGGGGGGAGGGGGCTTCTCCAGAGTCAGGAAAGTTGCTGATATTTGACTATAGCCTTGTGTCTCCATGACTCTTCAGTTTCTAGCTCTAATAGTGACGTGCTTCATTTCTGCTTGGGTTTTATGGCCTCAATGGCACTTCCAGAAGAGTTAAACAGAGGCCTACTGGTGTGACTGAGCCCTCAGACGCCAGGACTGTTCTGCTTCCCTGTCTGAGACCCCGGTCCACGCCCATCTGGCCCTGGCCGCGCCCCTTGCCTCCGCGGTTACCCCCAGCTGCCCCCTCAAGACAGCCCTTCAAGCCCAAAGCCACCAGACTAGACCACTGGTCCCTAGGAACAGCCGTGCCCTGGGCCCACCGCCTGGAATCTGGCCTGCTGCTCAGGCAGGGTCAGGCCCTTGTTTCTCTGTGTGTTTGGGTTCCCAGAGGTGGAGGCTGGGCCAGGTGACAGCTCCCTCCCCCAACTCTGATCGGACAAGGAAGGCCCTTGTCATTCCTCAGACATTTTGTTCCAAAGCTTAAAGGCCCCTGCGCAGGCCCCTGGCACCACCCTTGGCCTGTAATCCAAGTCTGGCCTTGTGGTTTGGGCAGAGGCTGTGCCCTGGAGGGTCAGCCCGAGGGCCAGAGGGCCAGAGGGCCATGGAGCTCTGGGAGGCTGGGCCACCCGGGGCCAGCGTGCTGCCCGCCCTGGGCTGCCAGCCTCGGCGGGGGAGCATGCCCTGCTTAAAGCCTCAGAGGGCCACCTCCCTGTCCTTCCGAGGGGTCCCCGCCTCGAGCATCTCCCATGTTCCCCTGGGGGTGTGGCCTCCTCTGCTGCTCAGACTGTAAGTAGGGGCTGAGCTCTGAGGTGCCCATTGGCGCCTGGGAAGCCTGCAGACCGAGGCTGGGCCTATGGGCTGGTTTCCTGGCTCCTGGGAGGGGTTAGGGCAGGGCTGAGGGAGCCCCACCTCTGTATGCCCCTGGACTGGCCGCTTGCAGCCTGCTGTGGCCCTTCCCCGCCTCCCTCCACTGGGAGCCTCCCTGACTGCCACCCCAGGTCCGCCTCAGCCCTGAGCAGAATGGCCGTCTTTGCACAAAGGTGCACTGTGGCGGTGTGAGGCCCCTGCCAGGGCACGGGAGGCCGCACAGAACGGAGGGGTCGTTCTGGTGGGTTCGGCTGGGCCTTGACTTCTTGCCTGGTGCAAGACTTCAGGACCGGATGGGCTGTGCCTGGGCCGCCTTTCAG